AATGGGCAAGTGTTAGGAATGGGCAAGGCAATCTGGGACTTGTGTGTGAAAAACCACGAGTTATTGTGCTTCTGTTGCAAACTGGCATAATCAGATGGAGGGAACATCACACTCACCTAATGCTGCACAGCCATTAAGACAGCCTTGTTTTAAATATGAGAACTGCTATTAATGACTCATTAAATTTTTACACAGAGACTGTGTATTTATTAAGTTTCCCTCAACGTGGCGACAAATGGTATTTAGCTCAAACGGAGGTCAGTTTTCAGAAGGAAATTGATCACACTGCGCAGTGTTCTGAAACGGAAATCAGTTAATTTAATTCACAAAGTCATTTGTTATGTCTTATGGATTGTACCATTACAATAAGCTAATTATTTCATTTTCTCTGACAGTATTGAAGAGAGCAGTCGTGCTCTGGCTAGTAAAAAAACATGCTTAAACAGGCTATTGCTGATGGAATTCTCTTAAAAAACCCTATCTGGGTATTATTCTGTAACAGTAAAGTGTAAAAACAGTGATGGTTACCGCATCTGCTATAACAGGCAAGGCAGGATTTCTGCTTGCTTAGTTAAATACACGTTTGACAGAAGATGTGAAAAGCAGCTGGAATTAGATTAAAATTTTCACATAAACAATAGATATATACACATGCATGTCTTTATGTGCGATATACTGTTTGGTGTTTCACCATGTTTATATTTATATAATGGGATGACTTGTGGCCATTCTCTAGCACTTGCCTCAAATTCAAGTTTAAATGGATACGGTAGTACACTCCGGATATCACCGAACACCTTTCAGGTCGTTTTTTTTTTCTTTTTTATTTTTTAAACCAACAATTATCCAATGAATTAACTAGTCTAGCAAGATGTGTAACATTCATCAGCTGTAAACTGCTGTACAATGAAAAATAAAATTACAGCAACAGAGCCATGCTACCTTAAAGTCCAAGCTACAGGTTCAAATTAAAAAAAAAAAAATCAAATAAATAAACACAAATAGAAATGGTATGGACTATTTAAAGGATCACCAGTCTTAGTCTTAATCAAAAGCTAAATCGAATTGTAGGGGAGATTTTGAGATTTTGTAGGTCACTCAGAACGATACACAAGGGAGCCTAAGCAATCCCGGTGTTCCTTGATGGCTCTCACTAACTAGAACGCAATAGCAAATCTAAAGCAAATAATTTGGGGAAGAAAAACACATTCTTTTCTTCTGTGGAAAACCTCCTTTAAGCTCCAGGGATGATGTCACCCTCCCTGTCTGTAACAGATAAATCAAGTTCTTTCTGTTCTTCACTACCACTTTAAAACTGATTTTTTAATACATTTCCTATAGAATACATACAGTACAGTACATTTATATATATAAAGACAAAGGATGAAACATCCAGTGCCGTAAAGGTGTATCTTTCCTGCTTCCTTCCTACTGTTGAGTTTTCTGAGTTTCTATTCTTAGGGAACTCTGCAGTAATGTGTTGGCAAATAATTGACCAAAAAAAAGAAGTGGGCCATTACTTCCTGGTTGACTCTTGTATGTATCCTTTATATCTAGTATTGCTAATATTTCAATTTAGAGCTGCTTAACTGTTATTCACTATAACATGAGCACAGGAAGAACTGTAACCTGTCTCCCTTCTTAAAGGCCTGTGTACGACCATTCCTCACCTGGGTGCTAATGTCATATACTGTAGTTCTGCACACAGTTTCGTGCAGCTGGATAAGAGTATTCTATAATCTGCAGTAGTCCTTCATCCTGCTTGGCTTTTGCTCCTAAACTGTAGGTAGTTTTTGTCACCAAAGATTCAACTATATTTAATTTAATAGGAAACAAACAGATGTATTGTAAAATGATCCTAGAAAGTTGTTTTCCTAGTGTCTGACAGTCTATTGTGGAATTTTGGCAAGCATGATTATGCTAAATAGTTTCAGGAGTTTCAAGTGCCTACAAAATCCTCCCTGCTAACCCTAAATGTAGACTTAATTCGCCAAAAGTTGTTTTGATTAGAATGAAGACTCTGGTGTCCTTGAGTATAAAAATAATTCACAAAATCTTCAAATGATGTTTTTGATGAGTGAAAACTAAAGTACTCATTAATCTAGGCAGACACATTTAAAAAATATATCAGTATCCAAAAATAGTAGTGCCATGGGCCACTGGGATATTTTTAAAGTGTACAAACATCAAAACATATTACACAGTTTTTTTATTATTCAACTTTGTTAGAACTTTCTAAAAAAATATGATTTCTTTTTTCTTTCACGTAATAAAATCATCTTTTTTCATAATTATAGCTTGTGTCCCTCTTAAAAAATAATTAAAAATAAAACAGTTTTGCATATCTAGCGTTAGCATTTAAGGTAGTATGGCACACCCCTTTTTAAACATTCAAGGGTGGGGATCCAATTAATGCCTTTTTTTAAGATTCTGTCTTACAGCAATTTTTCTATATTTCTTCTGTGAGAGCTTTGGTTAGTTGAAACCATGTGAGATCAGCAAAAAAAGAAAAAATAAAATAAAATTGCTATTAAAATAATTAGTTAGCAATTTTTTTAAACTTTGTTAATTATAAGAGAAAGTTCTATCCTTACTGGTCCTAAATCTGCTAATAACTACATCTAATTCTTAGTCTTAATTACATAACATCTACTACTAATTACTAGGATAGGAGATAGAGAGAAAGAGAAAGAGAAAAGGACAAAGAGTATAGACCACTACACTGGCATCAAAGACAGCACTTTGTTACAAGGTAATTTTGCGATTTTACACACTACTGAAATACGTTAATGATCAACAAAAGATTATTGTATGAGGCGACAGGGAATGGAAAGAGAGAAATTGATGGATGTACAGTACATTATTATAATTATTGTTATTATAATTATTATTAACAACCACAAAAATATTAATAAAAATCCCCTGATTCATAAATTGAAATCTTTCAAGGGAATATTTTTATTTTTTTAACATTTTGTTTGTTTTTTTTTACTCTGAATGAACAGTTAACATTGTTTTCTTTTTTTGTTTAAATTATTACTTGATCAAGTCTCCATGTTATTTAAAAAGCATCCAGCATTTTGCTTCACCTGGTTGTTCTGAACAAAAGATAATTAAAAACAAATAATTAAAATAAATCTGCAGCAGGAAAACCAAAAGAACATCAGCATATACTGTACATTAATCGATCCGTTGTTTCCTTTAAAAAAAAACCCATCTAATTTTTAAAGCATCTCATTGAAATGCCTCTGCTCTACTGTGGCTACTCCAGTCCCTACCTTTAATAAAAATGAGTGCAGCAGCTATGGTTACATACCAACATTGTATTCAGTGTCTTCTATTGGCTGTATCTAAAATACCAACATTTATAAACGATTTAAAAAATATTAAAACTTGGCATATTTATATCCAAACAATAAAAACTCAAGACGTCAGCACTATATGTTGATTCTCATTGCTATTGATCACGATATTGGTTTGCTTCTGCAGGTGTATTTATTTAGACTGCAAAAAAAAGCATTAAATTAAAAATAATCCTTCATACTTCACCCCCTAATAAAGACCATTTACAACAGCCAACATTAAACATGTGCAAATAGGAAACATCAGTTCTTTCCTACCAGTCACAGTGCAATGATTTTTTTTTTATTATTCATTCATTATTTTAATGTTTATGTCTAAAATAAATTAATCTGTTAACGCTTCTAAGGTAAAACTCACAGCACTGAGGTAATTGTATAAAAAGGTCTGCCTTCCTAATTCATTCAAAAGAGTACTCAAAATGGATTAAATATTGCCGTTAACGATGCTGAAATCAGGCATTGTTTTTTTTCTGTTTTGAAAGGAGCAAACGGAGTAAAACTAACAATGACAAATCTTTTTTTCTTCTGGAGTATAAAAGCTTCAGTATTCACAGAGCAACATGAAATGTCTGGACGATAATCCAGAAGTCATAGCTTTTTAAAGTAATAAAAGGTAAATAAAAGTGTGCTTTGGATTTTTTACATATTACAATGAGGGCTGCAGCTCTCGCTTGTAGTTGTCAGTGTGGGAATGAAAAGGTAACAAATCTGAAAGACTTTGTGGAGTATAACTAAGCAGTTACCTCTTTTTTTCAGCTGTGCACGTCTGAACTCACAAACTAGTAAATATGCTGGTATGACACTCGTACAGTTATTAGGCCTATAGTATATACAGAGCAAGCTAACAGTGTTTTGTTTTTTCTAATCCTTATGGGGTAGTCAAGGCCTTTGTGCTACCGATGGGTTCTGCTTACTGTTTAGAGCTGAAAGTGTTTTCAATTTCTTTGCTCTCTAGCACAGTACAGCCTCTGACATACACCATCACAAAAATATGGTATCTCTCTTTCTTAACAGTATATATGCAGTGACTGGAATAATATTTACAGTTATATTTCTTTTTATCTGAATTCACAATTTATTCAAAAGAAAAAAAAACTTTATAATATCACCTCTTTTTCCAACAACAAAAACAACACTTATAAAAAAAAAGGACTGTGAAAATATTGTAGTCCTATCCTTATTGCCCAAAATAGGTAATTATGGTTAACAACAAGACATCACAAGAAATAAAAAGAGAACTACTAAGATTTATTAGTTAGTTACCCTCTCACTTTTGACTTGAATTAAAACCTATTCTGCTTTCAAGCCTAATGATTCTGTATCAGTTTGTTTGTGTGCAAAAGTGACACCTGAAGTTCTGATCGTTTTAAGGATCGGTACCAAAGTTAAAAAATAATAAACATAACCGTTTCAAATATGTTAAGCCCCCCTGCAAAAAAAGGGAGTAAAAAACTTAAGTCATTTTACATATATAACTTCTATGAGAGAAAATTAAAATGCACAAATAATCAAAACCAAGCTAAGAAGGCTATTCCTCCTACAACTATTAAGGAAAAAATAAAAGTAGTAATAATGTGATTCAACTACTTTAAAGGAAGGGAAAAAAATCCTAAACAAAGTTACCGGGTTACAGAAGGATTGAAAGATTTAAAAGCCAGGTTTTTTATTATAGTACAGCAGATTTTCTGAGATGATCTTGACATTGTTCATAATGGTATGCCACCTCCTGTTCATGTCTCCCCCCTCCCCCCCTTCCCGGTGATGCTGTAGTGCTTGAAGTTTGATGACATCACCTGTATACAGAACCAATTAGAAACTTCGGCCCGTCTTCCCTGGAGCTCCCGATATACTCTGCTGAGCCAAACACACAAACATCACCACAAGTTAATGGAATGCCAGCAGTTGAAGCAATTCAGTACAATAGCTGACAGTTTCTGTTGCATCCAAGTTACATCTCCATGCATTAACTATTCTGATGCATTATAGTTAAGAAAAGATAATTGCAAGATGTATTCATGGTTCATTTTTTATTACAAATGCCTATGAAACAGGCCAATGAATTAGGGAAGCACTTCTAATAGGGTGTCCTGATCTCTCTGCTACACCTGCCACTAGGTGTTTAAAGTTTGGTCCATGTAATCTTCCTGATCTTTATGAAATGTGGCTTTCGTAAGCAGCCACATTCATAAGATCTTCTGGTATAGAGCTACGCATGTAGCAGATTTGACAGGTCCTTTTTACACCAGACAGCTGAAGATTGAAGCACATGGAGTTATACAATAGCTCAGACTGAACACAGACTATGCTGCTGCTGAGTCACAAACACAAAGCTCTATTCAGTAAACACCAAACAGCTGATATGATGCATATTTTAGATTCTGTTAGTATTCTGTCTGACTTTGTGCTGCTTTCAGTTTGGACGATTTCCAAATTTACTGTTAAAGGCTTACTGAAAGCTGTGGAACTTTACAAATTACAAACAGCATTACTGTTGCTTTCTCTACCATTTGTGTATCCCATCAATATAGTTTTAAGTTTTTGCAAGTTCTTAATTCATACTAATAAGTATCATAATGAAGAAGTTGACAACCATCATATGTAAAGCTTGTCATATATTATGAGGAACCCAAGGACTAACAAAGCTGAGTGAATATGGAATTCAGGATACAAGATGATAAATTATATGATCTGTTTTAGAAATCACAGTTGTAAGAAATTGAAGAAACTAAACTGCAAAAAAGAAACAAAATTGTAAGAAACTCATGAAGAACAGTTTAACTGAAATCCATACTATACTGCAAAAACACAAAACTCTGGGGAGTTACAGAAGAAATTCCTGGTAGATGTTTTAAAAATACAACTTAATTAACTAGCAATGATCTTAAGCTCCATTCTTTCCAGGAAAATGTATATTCTCTGTGCTGTAGTTATTATGATGGTGGTGGTGGTGGTGGTGGTGGTGATAGCTCAGACTCTGGAATGTGCAGACCCAAGTGGACCTGTGTTCACTGATCTCTGAATCGATACAGGACAGTTTTCATTGGTGTTTACAGCTGGGAAGAGCTACTGTATCAGCTCCCAGATCGCACAAACACATAAGTTAGTGCTGTGTGATAAGCTGTAGCCAATTGATCTAAACTGAAGGAGAGGAGGGAAAAAAAATATTTTCACTTAAATCTAATTATTCTGTCTTCAATTCAACCAGTTGCAAATCAATTTTTAAAATGGATTTCTAACAAATTTCAGGACCAACCATTAATATAATCTAGTAATCACTCTGTGAATAACCTTTAAAAAACAGATCTTATGAAGACAAGGATAAAGGGAGGATCAATGTATATGTGCAAAGAAGCCCTTTTGAATATTTACTTTCAATGATGAATATTTCTGTAATGTACTAAATCAAATGTCACAGCAGTGTCTTGCCACTTTTAGAGTTCAGGTTTGTCTCAACTAAGCCTCTATTTAACCTTCAAAGACTTTTCATTCACAATGCAGTTAACATAAGTGTTACTTTGTCCACTTATAAAGCAGGTTAGAATATGTCAATAGAAAAGCGGTTTGTCATTATTCTACACAATAGTTAGTGGCAAGAAGAACCAAACTGCCCTTAAACCTAAAGACAAAGGGGAATGAGTTACTTGACTGGATTATGATGCTAAAGAACTTCTACTGACTGAGCAGATGTACAGCAATGCACAGAGGGGACCTTGGTTTTCTGCTTAGCAAACTTAGCAAGGTTATTCAAGCCCCAGGACAGACTTCAGCATTCATTGTCTTTGGGAAAGCTCTCTGCATATTCAGCTAATTAAATACTTAGTCGTGCATCTAAGAACTGGCTTATACATCCAAAGCCAAGTAGGATCCTGACTGCCTGCAAGTGACACTGCACGACAGAGTAAAGAGGGTAGTGAAAGAATATTACCTAGAGGAATGTACAGTAAAGGCAACTGTCTTTCCAGAGAGCGGGTGAAAATGCATCAAAATTAAAAACACAAATACCACAATTAAAGGCACTCTTACTAAACATAGGAATAAACTCATAATTGGGAGATTATTAGTTTAAAGGTTATTTACTACCTAGATAAGCTGAATGGTTATCTTTCATTTGTAAGTGTTCTTATGTTATTAATATACAAGTTAAATTATTCTAGCTTCTGTCCAGTTGATAGTCATTTACTATACATTCCTCTATTAGAGAAAATTAATTTAGTTTCATGTTTAATTCCTTGCTCTACAATTCAAGGGGCGTGAAGCCAGTTCCAGATAATGGCACCAGCTTTTCAGTTTGACATTTATTTGGAAGTGGATCTGTATTTCTACATCCCAGTTCACTTCCAAATGTTGGGAATTCAGAGTGGATAAATGATTGCCTGGACATCAGCAGCACTTTGTCTAATGACTTTTCAACAGGCTACATAAAACAATTTACAACTAATAGTCCTGAAAACACCCTCTGCATGCCAAAAATGTCTGAGAAAACACTGGGTCATAAAAGCTGCTCAATTCTATGATTTATATTATCTAAGTGTCTACTGATCTTCATTTTATACTTAATTTTATATTTCAGTCATTTTTTCACTGATAAACAATATTTCAACTGAATTAGAATAAGATCTTTGTGCTTACCACGTTTTAAAAATGTTTATGGAACACTTTAATATTAGCACTGCTATTGAGAATACATAAGGAATTACAAACACTACACAAAAAAAACCTTGCCAGCCAGTTTTCACAGACTGTTATGCTTTATGTTTCTAATTTAGAATCACTGAAAAATGTTCAGTGAGGTTTGTCAACATAAGCATGGTGTTATTTTAAGAGTAGAGAGAAGAGGACCAGCTTAATTCAATGACGTATCTACTCAGAGCAAAAATAAAAAAACAGTTTTCTGCCTGAGAAAAGTTAAGTGCTTTCAAGACCTCAAGCTTAACTTAAAAACCCATCCTCTGCTAACAGCTTTACATTCTGGTACATCATATCAAACCACATTAGACAACTGGCAAATAATAAAATGATACCCCCTGCTAACTGTAAGTTATATTCAATCATAACTCACTGCCTTGATTTCACACTTTTGGGAACTGAAATTAATTGGGTGTCAATGTGAGAAGTCTTAACTGACAGCAAACTTGTTACATTTCTTATATGAATGCATGGCTTACTGGTTACATACAAATTTACAGAAGCAACTAAATGATTCAATAAATGATATGAAATAAAACGACCAGATTAAACCACATTGACTAGGCAGGATACATCAGAGAAAGCAACAGTAACAGTCTGAGTAAACCAAGTGATTTTATATAGCCATTAAAATTCTTAGTAACATGCATACTCAGCCATGAATCTGAAAGTAAAAGATTTGTCACTACATGATGGTGAGTAGGAACAATAGGGAAAAAAATGCTTAACCATCTATGGAATTCAGCAAATAGTAATTACAAATCTTTTTTAAAGTTATGCATCAAGAATATTTAATGACATTTTTGTTTTATGATGACATTTAAGATTTGAAAAAAATGCACATTTCAGTGCTTTCAGTTTTATGGAAAGCATTTTTAAATAAAACATTTTCTTTTTAGGAGTAGCTATTCTTAATTTTATTTTTACTTTAAATTTGCTTTTAAAAAGGTGAATCACTTCCATAGAGGGTTAACATTTTACAGAAGAATGAGGAAAGGACTGATTCAGAAGAAAATCTACACAGAAATCAATGAGCGGATAAAAAAGGGATAGAAATGACTATTATATAATATAAATGGCACATAATACCTCAAATGAGATGGCAACCAACCCCCTGTTAGGTTTCAATGGTATCCATTTGTAAAAGCTGTCGCAATCAACGGACCCTAAAAGTGTACAGTTAGTACCTGTGTCAGTATGCATCTCAAGGAAAAAGAAAAACTATCACTGGTGAGTATATTTTATTCACAGGCTTGTGTACTGCCAGCATGAATGAGCATTTAAACATTCAGACATAAACACAGAGCATTGCATTTGCACAGATATTTTTGCGTGTCAATCTGGTAAAGACAAACACAAGTAAACAGTTTAAAAACTAGGCCTCTTACGAGTCTCTTGCACTGTACTGGGCCCCTGCAGGATTTTTGTCAACATTAACAGTTCTCAAATCTTGAGATGGCACTTTCTGAATGCCACAGGTATCCAATTTCATGGTCACCTTCACTGCCTTCCAAATTTGTTCTGGGGGAAAACCTACAGAACTGTCTGTTAAGGTATGGAAGTAGTTATTGGATTGATTTCCATTCCTTAGGGCTTTTTTTCTTGCCTGGGTACAAGTCATAAATGTATGGGTTACATTTCTCACTGGACCACTGATCTGGGTGAGTGTAGGAATAAACCCACCAAAAGGAAGGACTGTTGAAAGAGATTGTTCAGGGAGCATGTACAGTGCAAGAGACAAATCATCACACAATATTCTGTTGGTTGTAAATCTTAAGGACTGCTTTGAACTACTTTCCAGTACTTGTGATTGACAGGTGCCAATGAGAAAGACAGGTGCTGGAAACTGAAGTCCTCTATGTATCCACTGAAAGCCACACTGAGAGTCTTCCCAGACCAAGGTCCTATATTCCCCCCATCACCATTGTCATATATATATATAGACTGACAAAGGGTTAGAGGGCACTTCAGTCTCCACAGCTGTCCCCTGCTTGTCTGCGGATTTATTTAAATTTGTGTATCAGTTTTTTGGATATGTACTGATCTCTGCTGGCAGCTATGCGTTTTCACTCACATACAGTACCATACTAAATGTAGAGGTGATATGATGCTGAATTGATTACTAATTGATTTGAGGATAAGCTCCACATAAAAAAACTATAGAATCTGATAACACTGATACCTATGAAGACTTTGAAAGGCTAACAATCTCAAATATTTGCAAAAAACATTAGATCCCCAAAGCCCATCTATAATTTTACTGTTACTTTTTATATTTTATGTGTATGTGTAAGTATGGTGAGGAGGGTTGCTGTTCTGTCAGTGCCTCTCTCAAAATGCTGTGCAGACAGGAATTATTGCAAACTAAAAGGTCTTTATTTTTGCAAGAATTATTTCAGAGATTGTTAGGCTTTCCTTTTTGCACCATAAACATTCATGCTTACATTAACAATATTAATATAATCAGGAGTCATGCAAAATCTCTTCAGCAATAACATGAGGAAGAAATACTTCTTCTAGAAAAAATCTCACATGACTAATATTTTCATGTTTAAAAACATCATCATTGTTATTTTACTTTGTACAGTAAACAATTCATATAACACAGTTTTTCGTTAATGCAAATCCAACAATATAGTATTCAACAATAAAGTCACTGTTGTCAAAACTACTCAGAGCATTAAATGACAGCTCCAATAATGCAGCTGTCATTGTGCTATTGTGCAAAATCCATATGGGACTGGAGAGGAACAGGAAAGGTTGGAAATGTGCAGGAAAAATGGAATATCTTCCAAATTAAATTCCAGCCATTCACTTCCAACTTAATCTGAGACTCCTAACCTATTACAGAGGGTTTTTATCTCTGCTAATATTAACAAGAAAGTGTCAAGACAGACCAGAAGGACAAAAACAAAAGTAAAAGCATTAAAACTAATAAAATCTGAAAGACCTTTGAGATTGCTCCTGTGCTCAGCTGGGATGGACATTTATAGAATGAATACTCCTTTGAAGATGAATCCTCATAGGCTGCTTTTCAGCAATGAAACCAAGTATAAGGGCTTGTGGTTACAAAGAAGACTATAATCTGTTAGCTCCTAAAGTTTAATGGTATTTTCGCTACATTTATCAATAATATGAAAGGAATCATTTTAATTGTGTTTAATTTATTGTTAATGTATTTCTGAGAATTTCTGCACATGCTTGTACTTAAAAAAGAAAGATTATAGTTTCTAAAGATTAGCACAAAATTGTAATGTGTTTAGTGTTGTCAAATAATTTCTTAGACTATGGATTTGTCTTTGCTGGTAAGAGATGCAGCAGTTCAAATATATTAACCTAACTGGATATACTGACTTTCTTTACACTCCGACTAAAAATGTTGTCTGTAATGGGTTTAATTTCAACCATATTATGCATTATTCAGAAGTATACATATCTTGTTTTCAACACCTGGAAGTTAGAAGTTCTTCCTTTGAAAACTGTCACTCAACTTTCTTCTTCACTAAATTATTTCCAGAAATAATGAATAGTCCATCTGTTTTGTAAAAACACTCTTGTGGCAATATTCAGAGAGATTTTTAAATATTGTTTTTATCAGATATTCATACTCTTCCAGTAAAAGGATCAGGACTGTGCAATATTACAGAAAGCCAGTGTTTAAAATAACAATAACTCTTATTCAGATATACTCTACAGAAATACCTTGAAGTTGGTTTTTGAAGTTCAGATGGTAAGAGAAATTCTTTTTCACTGAAGGCTGGACGACAGTTGGAATTAAGGTCATGAGTGTCTATCTCTGTCTGTTGTGATAAAGCTCTGGTTTCATCTGTCTTCTAACTTATTCATATGATTCACAAAGTTTAAAAGGAGCACATATAATGGATTTCTGTGGATTAAAAAGGTTTGGAGGCACTACATTCATATGACTATATTTTTATGGGAAATTTGTATTTATTGTGGATGAATAGAAACCTCTATAACTATCTTGTAATCGAAAATTGTACTTAAGGTAAGGCTAACCTAGTTTTCTATTTTCACATATATATAAAAGTACTAACACTGGATTTGGTACCCTGCATAGCTAATCCAAAAAATAAAATGTAGGTTCAGTCAAATAAAAATTATTGGTCTTCCTAGCTAGCCCTATGTGGTAGTAACTGTGTTTACTGTGTCTAAGGAGAAAAGAAAGCCTTTTCTTATAAAAGACCTAGTGGGAAGATTTTGTCCTTCTGGTTGACAATTGGACAAAGGCACATTAGCACATACATTAACTAAAGTCAATCCATACACATGTTTGCAGCTTCTGAACTGATATGAAAAGGATTGTAAAAATGAAGGCAATGCACACTCATGAGAGCTGAAAAATCCTGAGTGTTGCACAAATCAGCTAATGCACCTGTTAAGCACACCTTTTTGGGGCAATTTCCACATAATTTAACTTTAGACATGCATTCCAATATTGTGCTCTTAATAAACAGACTCTTAAATGCTCCCCATGCAGTACTTTCCACAGGGCAGGGGAAGCACTACTGAAAACAGCAAAAACTAATTTAAGAATCCATTCTGTTTAGCATGAAAATGGATTTAGCCAATTTTTTATTCTATTTCATGGGTCACCTTTAATTTGATGATCCTTATTAACATATTGCAACCTGGGTGTCCTTCTGCCCCCGATAAATTTGTGGTGTGTGGAGCTGAGCTCCAGAGGAGCCTCATTGTCAAGTTTCTAACTTTGATACTGCATTAGAGTCATGCTTGTCACTGGTGACATGCTTCTCCACATTCAGATGGGGAGCAGCAATTCAGATGGTTCGTCAGCTTTGGTTGCAGGCTGACGTTTTTGTGTACTTCTCAATTCTTTTACTTTGTATAACAGGCAATATGGCTGATGTAGATGAAAAATTTAGAACTTTTCTATTGTACCCTTTTAAAACTACATGAATGATCTTTTTTTAAGTTATCTTCATTACAGAATATTGTGAAAGCATATTTTGACTTTATCTGCACCTATTTTTATCTACCTGTTTATATTCACTGAAGTGATGGGTAATCGTTATGCATTTCCATATATAGTTCCATATACTGTATCTCTCTGATTCCTGTGTTTATTTGATATATTTTTACTAAACATTTTTTTCAAGGGCATCATTCTGTGACAACCGCATGTACTTGCGGCTTTTTTTATTCTAGTTTAATTTGGGTCTCATTAAATTGGGGGCCAAGTTACCTTAAATTTGCAATCTATGAAGGACAGGATAACATCAGCAGAAAGCATAAACCTTTGTTTTTTAAAGGTTTGCATACAACTGAGTTCATCATGGCTTTGTCCAACAGGTGACAAGGGTGACAAGCTTAGGAAGGCCAATAAAAAGAGAACACTACTAGCAGTGTGGATTTAGGGAGTTCCACAAAGTGTTCAGCCAGGTTAACTGAACTTAGTTATTATTAGCTCTTACAAGCAAGACTTTTCTTAGTATAGGTCTCAAGTATAATAGAAAGAATAATAAACTACTTTAGGTTGAGTCAAAGACTCTTAAATAACCTTTAAATATAGGATGCATTTACTTTTTCGAAAAATGCTTGTGATCTCATCACAGCACGTTTTCCTTCAACCGTAGATTAAATGTTGAACATGAAACCATTTATAATACTCCCAGGCCTCATAAAGCCAAAGTCCAAACACACACACGGTGCATTAAGGTGGAGAAAAAGCAGTGTGCATTACCTTGTTCTGTCTCACAGATACACTCTCCGCTGTTAAACACTCTAGGAGGATAAATACAGGAAATGGATCAAGCGGCTGCAGTGTACTTACAGCGATGCTGTGCCCGAAGCCGGATCCAGGCTGGGGGCTAGCAGCACTTATGTAGTTACCGACACCGGAATCCTGGCTGGCAGTGCCATACAGGTCAGCCACGGGCCCTGGGCTGTTGGCGCCAGGGAAGCCTCCGGGCCGAGGCGGGTTGGTGCCTGCCGGGGAAGCAGGGGCGCCAAAATTCGGTTGAGCAGTGTAGCTATTCAGGACTGGTGTGCAGAGATAAAAGCTGAGTATGAGCCTAGCATGCACATCACTTCAAAGAACAAAGCCAGACCACTAGAAATTAAAATAAAACAAACTCAGATTTAAAAAAAACAATATATATACATATCTATATCCATATATATATATACAGATACAGCCTAGGCTCGACTTAAAATAAAATAAACACTCAAACCAAGGCCATGCGAAATTAAAGACGGGAGAAGGTATTCAATGAGGTTCAGCCCATACTATTGACTAAGAAGCTTGGAGCCTCATGTAGATATATATAGATATATATATAAAAACAACCATTCAACACACTACTTAAAACCAGAGACTGTAAGGTGCTCATTTTCACCAAATTGTCACAAAAAAATATTTATTTTTTTGACATCTGATTCAATGCTCATGCAGAATAAACAGATCTCTATGTTTTGGCACGTCTAGACAGCATTCACATCCCATGCAAACTACAAAGGAACTAGTGTTAAGACTACACAGAGTGCTGTTTCATTGAGGTTAGAAATGGAGATTATTATTAAGCTGCAGAAATTTCATTCAGGGTCCCTTTAGATGATAAAACGCTTGCAAGTGTGTCAAAGATACTTTTTTTAGTTCCCTTCATTATCATAACTACATGCTTTTGATATTTTTTTTACTTCTTAAGTGCTCTGAGTTTGTACATCCTCAATTATGAATCCTAGTTCATGAAACCCTTTCAGAAATTGCATTGGGGAGTTCTGTGCAACACCCCAATCTAATCAACACCTGTCGTTCTGAGAGTTTTTTTTCTTCTTTAAATAAATGATGGTGATTATCTACCAGTCAGTATCAGGGGCATCAGGCCTAGTTGGTAACTGACAGGAAGGAAATTACTGAAGGTGTCTTGGGTAATGTGTGTAAAAAGCCTTCTTCGTACACTTAGATTTCCCCAGAAAACCACAACTGTTATGATGAGTTATAATCCTTCTACTGATAAGAAGCCATAAAATTAAGCAAATTGGTGGTAACCTACCCTGACACTTCTGGAGCGCTAAGCCAGACATCCTGTCTTAGGTTCAAATCCCACCTCAGGCAGTCACCTACAACCCTGTGACCTTGCTGATGCACTCCGCAAACCGAGTCTCAGTAAGACTAAACTGAAAATGGTAGGGCTCTGGTGAAAATCCCAGAGCAATAACACTGGCAATTAAAAAGAAGAAAAGAAGACAAAGAAAAAACCCTGGGGTTCTCTTAATTGGTATAATTGTTATGGACCACTTGAGCCATTGCAGCATTGAGCTTCATAATGACCTTACATTTTTAGTGCTTGGAAGATAAAATAAATAAAAATAAATGAATAAATTAAATTAAGAACTGCAAAGCTTTAAGCCCCCCGACTGCACAGAATTCATCTTTCTTTATGAACAGCACTAAATTGCACTCAGATTAATAAAGGAATATTAAATGGGGCTCTTCTGAAGCCGTCAGCTTTTAGTTTACTTGGATATTCACTGAAGGAAAGACTATTAATGCACTGAATTTGAAAACTCATAAAGCTAAAACACTTATTAAAGCGATTGTAAAAGCAAAGTACTGCATTTTAAAATCCGCAAAACCATATGCAGACTAAATCACAAATGAACCAAGAAATGTACACTGACCTTGTGAGATTTGTCTTAATGAAAAAGAAGTGACAATGCAACAACAAAAGGGATAATTTTTCCATAATTCATACATCTTCCATTGCTTCAGAAATTTAATTAGCCTCTACTATGATTTCAGAAATTGAAGAATAACAAGGAATTATTCTCACCATACACTGACAACCTGCTGATAACAAAACATAAAAAATAAAATAAGAAATAAAGAAGAGGTGCAGTAGACACTTTGTATCTTTATGATTTCAGACTTTTGGTAATTATAAAACAAATAATTTACTACTAGGATGAATAACTAATTATTATTCTTACTATAATTGATCAGCAGCTGGGTTTAAGCTTCACCATCCCCACAAAGTACCCAGCCAGCCTGCTGAAAGGTGCCTGATACAATGACTACTACAGTACATGTTGTGCTTTTATAGATACTTGTGTACACATACAAACCAGAAGTAAAACACGTATGGAGTTAAATCCTTAATCATGGCCTAGTGAAGCTGGTGCCTGAGCCTGAATGACAGAGGAGACTTGGAGATTCTCCCCCTCAGACATTCACACAGTCTACAGATAGAGTCCATACCGCAACGCCTCACGTGCCCCCAAACTCTCAAGCCTCGATTCTGCAGTCAGAGGATGTCAGGAATAAAGTGAATGACACAATACTCTGCCATTGTTAACAGTGTATTAAAAAAGCAGAAGAATTCCCTCTGTTAATCTTAATTTTGATTACAATGAAAGAAATGCGTTTAGGCATGCTAGCAGTTACATTTAGCTTGGTTTGGGCGAAGCGGTCAGTAATTCAGCAGGGGTCTACGTGACAGAGAAGAGAAGGAGCAGAGTGAACTCTTGGCTCAGAAGGAGCTGACAGCCATTTGTCACTTAATTTGAGATCCCTGACTGCAGGCACAGGTATGCTCCGATTTAAGTGGGTTTCAAAGCATGTGACAGACCAATAAAACTTAGGAAGGAAGGCTCTCTTTGCTTGTATAAGCCAAAACGATAGCTTAAAAAAAGCCAGTCTGAGTAATTGCTCAAAATCTCATAAAAGTCACATCACTGGTAAATATCAAGCATTTCCTGATGATTGGTTTCAGCATTCTTATCTTAACTGTGCAGCCCTAATAAGGCTGTGTATTAAGCAATTATTGCTATTTTTAGTTTAAACAGTAATCATTATTTTATAATTGGTAGATTCTGTTGAACATTACAAAGCTCCACTTCCCAAGTGAAACAGGATTTATGTTTTATTTAACCCTGGGGCTACACAGCTACTGTCATTAACTTTAACAGCAAAACATGAATTATAATTATTGGGACTGGCTTGTGGAACTGCATTACCAATGTTGTTTTGGCAGGGATTTTCACAAGCAGGTCTCTGATTACAAAGCAACATCAAAACACTGGCAAACCCATAAGATTAATTTCACTAGGCTTTTTTTACCACTAGACTTTTGAATTTAATAGCATTTGCATCTGCAGCAGGAAGATTAGTGAATCTTTATACCTTGCCTGTGTTCTCATTATGTATTACTGATCTTTTGTGGAAGAGAAATTGGAAAGATACAATTTACTACAAAAAAGTTGGAAATCTGTTTATAAAAGTAGTAAAGTACAATACAAATTCCAGCCGTGTGACAGATTTTCATGGACGCTCTTGTACTGGGTTACATGGACTAAGGCACATTCCTACTCCAATGCATCAAGTTCAAATACTATTCACGTTCAAATACAGAGGTTTCAGACATCACTTGGAAGATGACTTTTTCTGGAAGCCCTTTTAACCATTTGCTCCTACTGCAATATTACTGTATAAACAACATTTAAGAATCCAGACAGAGCTGACACTGTTTGTCTTAAATGTCTTGCACTTCCTGCTGTTTAAAATCTTGTACTGCCCCCCCCAGCCAAACTGTGTTTCTGTTATCCTTTGTGTATAATTTGAAACTCCATTACTACATAATTTTCTCTAAAAAAATGGGAAATCTAGAGGTAAAATAGAGTATCTGCTTCTTTTATAACATACAAAACTGTATGTTATACAGTTTGTACACTGATACCAGGCCAATATTGTGAACATTTCCAATATTTAAAATGTTTTTTAGACTTTTTTTTTAGAGTTTATTTCTTGTTAATTCACTGCCAACTAGAATTAAGACCTAAAATAATAAATACAGTAGTAGTATTTTGATCAGCAAAGTAGAACATTGAATGTGAGTGAGAAAATATCAACGCAGGCCCTGAGACAGATGCTGGGATTTCCAGCGCTGTCGATTTATACATACATCTTGAATCAAAATATAACTGCAAGCTTTGCGGAACGCATCCAGTCCTCTCCCACAGGAGGTCCGGTAGGTACTGTTGCTGCAGCACAGCTGTTTCTCATGTCAATGTGACACTCTGGGTCTTTAATTCTCAGGAGGAGTACACAAGACAGAACAGGACAGAAAAGAATATGCCCTGAGGTAAGTCCATCTTCATGTTTGACTGCACAGATATTACAGCATGTTACACCCACTGTGGCCTGTACTGTGAGCAGCACTTGGAGGATGGCAGAGTACATGAGAGCTGCAGGGTTGCTGGCAGTAACTGGCACTGTATTTAAAACTCAGTGTTGTACCTGGATAGAATTCACAAGACAGTTCACTTCCAGATGGAAACAAATCATACAGACCTGCACAGAGGCGAAAGTACAGCTATATACCATTTAGGTTATCATATTCTTACATTGTCACCATCAATCAATCAAGGTCGGCTTCATAAAAGTTATGCTACAAATGTGGAATAAAAGTCTACTGTAGCTTTCATTGACAGAAATGAGTTTTACGTTGGCTATGCAGAAGAAATATTGCATCTTTGATGTATAAAAGGAGGCAGCTGTCAATCTCTACAGTGACAACACGTGTGGTAGCTAGTCTCCAAAACTGAACAAATAGAGTAATCCATGCCATTTGCACTAGGTGTATCTGCTTCATTTCTAATGACTGTATTGTTTGTTTGTCAGACACCTGGTGTCCTCATTCTATCTCACAGTTCTGTCGATTCTCAAATCCCCTATACAGACTCATTCACTTATTTGCGGCTATTCTTTTTATATACTTATATACTGAATAACGACAAGTGGAACAAAACTATTGTACAAACTACATTTTTCCCCTCTATAATAACAGGCAAGTCTGATTCCTTAATGGGATCAGAAAACAAATTTAAATTTGGTTATTGAGATCTGAATGGAAATGAAAATGTACACTCTAGCCCCCAGAATAGGAGCTGGACAGACTGACATATACTGTACTCCCACTCACCAATGAAAATGAGATATGACCTTATTTTCAGAAGGTGGTGTCTTAGGTGTTCTTACAGTAATCACATATTGTGTGCGACTAGGAACAAATAATCCAGAGACAGGACTGAAGTGTTTTTAAAACTGTTCATACTAAATGCAAATACTACAAACTATTCTTCCAGCAAACAGTAAAAATTAAAAGTATCAAGGTTGTCAGTTTTTTGCTTTCCTGTACTCTCCCTAACACAAACAATGTCCAGAAAAGATGATCATTTCAGAGCACAGACGTTTGATGTTAAATGCAATGCCTAACAAAAATACAAGGGAGACAGCAACCCCAATGCTGGCAAGCACTTAAGATGCTTGTGTAGGTAGGCTTTAGGTATTTGTCACTTAACCGCAGGAATAGAACAAAAACAAAAATGACATCAATTTCCGGGATGCCATGCAAGTACAAGGACATTATTTCCAGGTAAAGCATAAAGACAATGCCATTTTAGCCTCCTGATAAAACATATGGAACTTTAGACAGTATATAAGGACCAGAGTGCTTCCTTTTCCACTCATCAATCGTAGCTTCCCAAGCTACCCACACCACCAGTGTTTGAGAGCCCACTGAGTCAGGACCACTGTGACCCTTTGGAGTTAAGAACAGAAGCACTTATGTTGCTCAATAACTGCACAGCCTATGTAACCTACATAACCTCTGTATTGCTCACAGATAAAAAATCACTTTGGAACACATATTCAAAATATATGTTATATTTTTATACCCTTTTCCATTGTTTTTGTAAATGCTGTATATAGAGCCATGTGGCAAAAGTGTGCAAAAATGTCTGCATGTTGTCTCCAGATTTAATACAAGATCAAATGATAACCCTGCATAAAGAGTGAACAAATGCTCACACAAAGTACAACATTTTCACAAGGAATTGAAATTGTTCAAGATCCCTTTTATACCTGCAACTTTCCTGCAGAAGGGTGGTTGTACCTGTTCTGTCAATATCTGATTTCTCAAACAACAGCTACAGCATGAAAGAAGACAGAAAATAAGTGGTATCTATGGATCAGGAAAGGATAACGATCAGCACTCCAACTAATCTGTGTTCCCATTGTCCTGCTGCACCAACCACTACACTGCAAATGCATTTGTGTCTCGTCAAAATGCAATCCATAAAAATGACAAGACAAAACCAAACAATAAAACCAAAGAATTAACAAAAAAGAACAAAACAGCAATAAGGGGATTTAGCAAATGAAGGGTCTATCCATTTTAGGGGAAAGGAACATTGTGCACAAAGTACACATAAAGAAAACACTGAAAAGAATTATTTTTCAAGTAACTAATTAGATACCCATGTTTTGTAATGGAGCACTTCATTATCTACTGTGATCCAAAGTCCAATTTCATCTCCGAAAGGTGGATTTTATTTTACTATGTATGTGGTACAACTTCCAGAATCCAGTGACAGCGTCAGTCTGCGTGCTTCACAGATTTCAGCAATGGGTATGTAATACATATACATGTATGTCTATATATGTACTGTATATATACATCAGGTGTACTTTTTTACATGGGTGTTCAAGGACAAAGTTTTACCATCACTTATAATTCTTATTACCTCTCTATTGAGAAATTTTATAAATTAGAAAATGTAATTTTATACTTTATAAAACAGAGAATATTTTATAACCTTTATCTTGTTATAACAAGCAGGGGTAACTTTTGATTTGGCTTTTATTCTTTCCGTAATAATCTGTCTAATAATTTTGAAACTAATAAAATCTGGCTGCTTTGGTTGAAATGGTGCCAGAATAAATGAAATCAGGAGAGATGAGTGAGCAGTGAGATGAGGCTGCTGTAATATCACACAGCCATTAGAGACACCTCAGTTATTTTACTTTATTAAGTTCAAACACTTAGGTCTCCAAATACCATGGCATTGCTATCACACTGTGTCTAGACTTGTAAAAACTCTGTTTGTACTTGTCAATGTGTCAATGTGTGCATATTCATATACAGTACATATACATAGAAAAATACATATATATACTTCCAAGAGCCAAAGGTTTGCATTAAAACAAAAAAATAAAAAACCCTATTATGCATGCAGTGCATTACAGGTCAACTCCTTCAACTGCAAAAGGATTCTTTTTTAAAAAATGTATTTTTCAAACTGTAAATTTTACTTAATTACAAGAATAGCTGATATCAATCAATGAAATTACTTTATGAATCAATCAAGGAAACGCAGTACGAACCTGGGCTCTTAAACTGATCCGGGCTGTGCAGCTGATGGAGGGGAGAGTTGCTGGCAGAGGTGGCATGCTCACTCAGCATCTGAGCAGCCTGGGGCCCCAGGGAGCCATAGTCCGCAAAGGAGCAGGGGGGCCCCCGCTGGTCGCTGGGCGAGGAATAGAAACCATAATCGGGGAACCCTGGGAGATACAGTATAGGGGGACTCCATCATTGTGGAAAAACTTTCACAGCAACGTCAAAACTTTCATGGCATGTACTGTAGTAACGCGCACCAGAACCTTTCCTTTCAATTGCCCGCAATACTTGTGTGTGGTGAAGTGACACAATGCAATTTGGTCCATAACATTAGTCTGATCGGGCAGCTGATGCCCTGTAATGACTTTGCTCTTCAACTGCACATGGTTATATCAAGCAGCACGTTGACAAATCTGACACCGCTGCCACAAGAAACCTCTGCTTTAAATATACTTGTGAGGCTTCTTCCTTCATTCTGGTACAATACGTAGCAGCACAAATCGCCAGTCACTTTCAGCACAGGAAAATAAAAAAATAAATACGATTGTGATGCTTTAAAATATATTACAATATATTAAGATGCTGCTTTCTGTGAAGTTTGTGGAGGTGGTGCTGGGGTTATAGTGCGCTATAAGGACAGAGAAGGAGACCTGGTGATGTATCCCTTTCTAGCTCGTCCAGAAAACTACGTTTTCAACTGAAGTCAACTGAAGTTTCAAGGACTATTTCAGGACTGAAATACTGATGTATTTCAAAGAAAAGAAAGTGAAATTTTACGTTCTTTCATTCACATAAATCAATAAATAATTTCAGCTATGTGTCCATTAATCCATTCAATTTGCAATAAATGGCTTTTTTTTTTACAGAATTTATATTGGTTACATCTAAAGGTATAATAAGTCTAGGTGGAAGGTGCTCGAGAAAGACTACGTTTATCATCACCAAGAATGTGAAAAGAGGTGCAGAATGTGGGAAAAAAAAACTTTATACGTTTAACCCCTTACATTCTACCATTTCAAATGTTGTGTCCTATCTGGAACAAAGTGAATTCGAACACAACTCCACTGCTTTCAAAATGGTAATAGGTTCACAAAGGTACTCTCAGTCATACAGTAACCCTAAGTGTTAAGGTATCCTGAATCTGATGTGCTTATTTCATTATCAGCTTTTCAAACCAATTTAGCATCTAAACAATCTCCCCCGTGGCACAGTGGTCCTGCTGAAACAAGACATTACAGTACAATTGTAAGAACTGCTTTTTAACAGTGTTTTTTAATATAAGTTGTTTCCTTTAACCACAGCATCCTAGCTCACTTTTCTGACACTGGGAAACTTGAGAATTAAGTACCGCGAGCTTACAGGCATACAAACAGTTTGCAATTTATGTGACATTATTTTAGGAATTCCTGTACCAAAAAATGTGATCACACCTCTTATGATTACTGCAGTCAATCCATTCAGTGGAAACTGGGATATATTCCTGCAGTGCAACTGCATTTATTTTCCATTTCTTTTCTCAAGAATCCCACACCTGGCAATTAATAATAGTCTTTCAGTCCTCCATCTCACACGCATAGAAGAGGAAAGAAATATACAGACTTCTAGGCACCTGGAATCTACGTGTTATAGTCCTTAATTTATAATGTGAACAAACAGCCCAATGCTCAGTAAATTAATTATATGTGTGTCTTTTCCAACAATGTGCAATGTACATCATAAAACATAAAAACAATCTGTTCCTATGTATACAGTATGTATAGATCCACATCCATTTGGATATTCCTACACAAAATGGGTATTTTTTTCAGTACATTTAAGAGGAATGCACTTCAGAAAAGCAGTTAAAATGGAAATAAGTTCTTAATTTCAGAGTGGAAGATGTCTTTACATTTTAAAAAGATTACTACAAGAGGTGGACTGTGAATTTTATTTGAAAACAACCTCTGAAGACAAACTGAACACCACCTATACCTTAATTTAATACCTAGTTTGAATAAACAACATAAAGCAAGAGAGGCTTTAGGTACTGTAGATTATCATGATGGACCAATGTGGACTTTTCTTATTCAAATACAAAAGAAATAAGGTCATCGCCACTGTACTAACACATTATGTGTTATGTTGTTAAAGGTTGACAGTTTCAGTTAACTTAAGAATACTTTATTTTGGCAAAAATACATAGAAACCGTCGTTGTTCTTTCTCTTACGTTTCATAAGGACTTACAGTTTTTCATAACCCTCAAAAACATACTTTTCTGGACAGAAATAGAATGTAGATTTAGAGTTACACTGGTTGTGGTATTCGGCAACACACACAAAAAAAGATAAAAATGGAATCAAAATCAAATTCTGCATTGGATGTGTCTGTACAGTACATCCACACTCATGAACCTGTCAGTCTGCTACTCAGACATCACCTGCCTCTTCTTATACTGGACAATCAATCCAGTGCCTTCAAGAACACTTCTCACTACAAAAACAAAGAGATCCTATTAACTTGCATCAATAGGTCCGCCTTTGCAGGTGGTATAAATATTTCTCCACACATCTGCCGTATTTAAACATGCAGAGAAATCCATTATTTTCCAAAACACATTTTTATTGCAATTATGAGAAAAAACTGATACAGTAGTACGTGCTAAGCAAGAGAATATGTGTTAGAGAAAAGGGAAATCACTGGCCTCTTCTAATCCCCCAGCTATTGTTGTTATCATTTATTTCCTCACAAAAAACATGAAAATGCATAAATAAATATGAAATGCTTGAGCAGTGTACTGCAAACCAGTGATTCATTACTGAAATTACTCCACTCAGGATAAATAATTCAATAAAACAACAATCAAAAAAGCATTATGCTAGGTGTTCACTCTGTCACTCACACAAACATCCACGCACCAAAGTTTAAATACTGTAAGTCAGCCCACCAACACCACCCCAAGTCTTTGGCCCAGGTCAAACCATCACTTGGTGTTCAGGTGAAGTGTCTCTGCACCTTCCCTCAGTCACCCAGAGTGGGTTAATACTCAAAGAATAAAAATACACATTACATGCCACCCAAAAGGCAAGAGAACAGAAACAATGCCATATTTAGAACATGTGCTACAGAAAGAGTGCTTCCCTTAGGGAATTTATCATGTCAAAATAATATTAAAACACCAGCTCACATCATTTGCTGTACATATACTGCAAATGGAATACACTGGGGGAAAACATGTTGGAAGAAGCTTATTTTTCATTGCCAGAGGGGAATGCAGCCTCCTGTAATGTGTATAGAAAACTTTATCTGTCCTCTGTAAGTATCGTGGGAGACACTACTTGGGACCTGACAGGCTTATTAATGAATAATGACGTCAAGTGCCTGCAGAATCTACATTCACTGGATGGACTTTATAAACCTCTGGCCCATGTATGGTCCACCCACATTCTCTCACTTTCAGTCTCAGAGACAACTGCTAATGCACAGAGTGGTTCCACTTGCTATTAATATTGAAATCTTCAACGCTTTGAGAAGAACAGAGATGACACCTGTTAAGCCAATGCTGCTGTAAAGAATTTGCAAAACAATCCCAAAAAACATACTTTCTAAACCTAAAGGGAGCCTTACCCATAATGCCTCGCTCTGCTCTGTTCTGTGAGCCTCCACTTCTCTTGATTCAAACCAGTACCCCCTCTCTCTTCCATTATCTCTTTCCCTTATTTTGAGACATGGCATGGTACATGCTCTCCCTACTGGTTTCACAATTTCTGTACTCTGTAAATGTACAAAGTCTCATTTATCCTTTCAACATTACTGACACATTGGGATCAGTGAACAACAGAGGTGTTCAATTAAGTCCTCCTAAAAACTGTAAAACCTTAAACTTGAGCACCGCATCTTCAATAGGCCTACATATTGAATGTTGGTCCTGTAGAACTTTCAGCAGCTGTTTCAGACTTGGACAATACTCCCTTCTATCACCTTCAAAAACAATGTGAAATTTTAAAGTGGGACACCATACTTCTGAAGACGCTCATACTCTCTTCTACCTCTGTCGTTCTCTCTCGGTAGAACGTTTCAGAGGAAGCTGGTTAGGCGTTAAAAAAGCAGCAGCAGCCTCTCACAAAAGATACCCACTCAAGCAGCTCATCTTTAATCATTTTTAAAAAAAAAGCACTTAGGTTTAATCCATTTTTGATGTAAGCGCTAATAGCTTGGTGTCCTTGAGGTTCAAAGTGGGTTTCGTGCATGTCTCTAATTAGCCGAGCAAGCAGCCATTCAGCTTCCTCTCATGTTTCTAATTAGATCTTTAACAACAAACAAATGTCGACCTTTACAAAGGCTTTGCTACATTCTCCCCCATTAGTTAAATAGTTGAGGAGGGCTGTGGTTAGAGACTCTCTTTGTCTCTTTTTTATGTATGCATAATCCACAATCCACCTAGGTGCTATAATGGTGTCTTCCTGTTTTAATCTGCATATTCCGTTTTAGGAATAATGAGAACAAGGGGACAGTAAGAAAACAGGAAAAAACACCTGGCAGCTTTGTTTATCTGGCCTGAAAATTAGTCCTCATTTGCACGCATTTTCTGTCTCCATCACACTCGTAAGAACCTAATAAACCCTGATAAAATTACTTTGATTATTCAGGTAGATCATTTCTAATGATAGTGTTATCTGCGTAAAATTATAGAATTCAGAAAAAGCTCTCATTTACTGACTAGCAAGATCATGAATCAGCCATCTGGAAGAATGGAATTGCTTGAACATTTTCCGAGGCTAATTTTCTTTTCTGCGCATGCAAATTATTCACTTTAACTGGGAGAAACTGAGAAATGCTGGTGAATTAAATCATTCTAAACATCAAAGTTGCAGTAATAATGGCTTTCCTCTGATGTTTCTGTAAAGTCTACCATCCTCTCTCAGTCTACCAGCAAGTGGAAACTGTTAATGGCTCTGGGAGATGGCCTGGGGTTTAGATGGTGTGTATTTTATATGTACCTAAAACATGGGCTGCAGTACTTTTTCTGGTCTCAATGGAATACAATTCAATCCACAATGCTTCACAGAACTTAGTAGGAGATATTATTTCCAATTACAGGTTGTTAAAATGGACTATTTTTTAATTGCATGTTTTTTTTATCCAGCGCATCAGTATGAAAATACTTTCCAGGTCATGCAGTTTTTG